CTGATATTTATATGGCTTATTAGAGTTTTCTACTTCCGCTTGGATTCATTTTGGTAATTTAAATTTCCTAGGAACTTACCCGCTACCATAAGGTTTTCATGTTTTAGCAGTGTAGCATTCCATATAATATTCTACTATGCTGCTTTTTTCTTGATCCATAATAGAACATATGGGTGTATGAGAGAGAGAGAGAAAGAGAGAGAAGTACTCTTTATAAGATCCACTCATGTCACAATCCTCTTCCTTCAGTCTTCTAGCCCACTGGATCCTGTGCACTTGTGTGTATGCCTGGCATGTATCAGGCTGACAAGACAAGGGATACAAATTGGAGTTGTCAGATTGTGTGTAGATTCTCTTGAAGAGCAATTATTGCATTTTCACACACCTGATTCTTGTGTCTTTTATTCTCTCTTATTCTAAAAGTTATTTCTACATTTTCATTTACAATCTCATTTTATATATAATTAACCTTTTTGATTGGGTGATTGGAAGAGTCATGACATATTTTCTTGCTTTTCTATGCAAAAATACATTCTGACTTTTCCGATGACCAATACTTTTGTATTTTATTCTAGTGATTCTAGTTCATTGTTATTGAATTCTATTTTTCTGGTTTCCTTTGATGTTCTTTTTCTAGTTTTTTAAGATGAATACTTAGTTCATTTTTATCTTTTTTCTTTAATAGCAAAGGCATTTAAAACTAAAATTCTGCACTGAACAGTTTTTCTTTCTTTTTGGGAGGGAGGGTTTTGTCAGAGAGACAGAGAGAGAAAGAGAGACAGAGAAAGGAAAGTGAAAAATCACTACCCGGGGAGTTAGCGTAATGACTATGTCACTGGACTCCCATGTAGTGGTCCGTGGTTCAAGTCCAAGACCTTGTGGCTTAAAACTCACGCTGGGCGTGTGTGCGTGCGTGCCCAAGATCCCTAGAGGAAAATGAAGGAGAAAGGATTGCAGTGTGGCCATCCCCCCTGGGGGGTGATTTCTTGCTTTCTGTCTCTCTATATGTCTGGCAAGTGCACACGCCCTATATCAAAAAAAAAAAAAAAAAACTCTCAAAAAAAAAAAAATTACTACCCAGGGGAAATAGCTATGTCCCAATCCCTTGTCCTCTATTCTCCTCTAGAAATTTCAGGCACCCACACAAATGAGCCTGGTGTGATTTTTAAGCTGCCGGGTCTGGGACTCAATGATTAGTCATGTGGGAGTCCAAAGCCTTAACCACCATGCCACCTGGTAGTCCCTTAAACACAGATCTTATTGGATGTGTATATTTTGTTGGGAAGGAATCTTTTTCCTTAATCCATGTATTGTTTCTAATTTCCTTTTAGTTCTAAGAATTATCTTATGTTGTTTAATTTCATCATAAAAATTTCTAGTTTTCTAATAAAGTTGCCTAATAAATTGCTTCTACTTCTTAGAAATGTATAGTATCACAGAATGTGACTATCTAAAAAAAATCCTTACATTTTTTAACTTATAAAAGCTTCATGCTTTTTTTAAAGGACTAACCTTCCTAAGACAAATCCCTTCTCATCTGCAATCTCTTAACACAACATTTCTTGCCATTTCAACATTGTGAGATAATATGAAACCTCATAGACATCATTATTGAAATGAGGTAAAGTTTTGTTGGGTACTTTATATACTTATCAACATAAATTCCTAATTCCATTTTTCTTATGACAATGAATGAAATCTACTCAACATTTGTTGTTTATCATCTTATCCCTAAGGCATCCTCATTAGAACTACAGGATAGCTGAGGGCATACTGGGTCACTGACTAGTGCTGTGAACTTCACCGAGATCTGAAGACATCATGAACAGACTACTGATGGAAATATGGACATTAGCGGAGGTACGGGTAGGAGCAGAGGAGGAAATGAGGGGTGGACACGTGACTGGAAATGGAAGGAATGGAATCTTTGTTATAAAGTGGCAGGAGGCTGAGCTGAGTGAGTTGTAAGTGAGGAACGTTGTGATTTAGCCGAGGACATTTCTGAACAGAGAGAGTTGAAGTAAGTGGACTGGTTTCTTCTTGCTGCTGATAGATGAGACAATAAAGATATAAACAGAGGGAAAAACTATCAATATTAAGCTAAGAGGAGACAGGACTTGATGATTTGGGAAATTCTCCACCAAAGACTGCAAAAGACACCAAAATCAAGAGACTTACTTTGAGAAAATTATGCTTTGAAGAGAAAGCTAACCGTACATCTGGATAACTTTTTGGGAGGGCCTTGTAAAGATTAAAAGCTTAGGGTATTCTGTCATAGGAGGGTTCCTTGAAGAGCTGAGACATGTGATTTAAGGATCCCCTCTGCCCTTTCTTTTTTTTTTTTTTTTTGGAGAGGTTTTTTCACTATAGGTGTGTGCACTCGCCAGAGAGAGAGACAGAGAGACAGAGAGGGAGAAATCATCCCCCAGCGGGGATGGTCACACCACAGTCCCTTCTCCTCCATTCTCCTCTTGGGATCTTGAGCACGCACGCACACGCACCTGGCTTAAGTTTTAAGCCACTGGGTCTGGGACGCGAACCATGGTCGACTACGAGGGAGTCCAGCAACATAGCCATTATACTAACTGCTGGTTCCCATCCCTCAGCCCTTTCAATAGAGGCCAAAATGGTGAAGGGATTAACTAGAAAATATCTGTAAGGAGCCTATTTTTCTAATGGAGTGAATCCTAGATACATACAAGGGAAAATCGAGAAAGGTTCTTGAGAACGGTGTATCAGCAGCAACGTCGTCACGTTGGTCTGAAATGGACAGGGAAATAATCAAATTAAAAAGTTGCTGAACTCCCCAAATTCTACAGGTAGGAAATGAGCTGACAAAAAAGTTCAGCTAAAAATATGTACAGCCTTTCATGGAAAAGAAATTTCCCTTTTTTTTTTTTTTTTTTTTTTTTGGAGAGGTTTTTTCACTATAGGTGTGTGCACTCGCCAGAGAGAGAGACAGAGAGACAGAGAGGGAGAAATCATCCCCCAGCGGGGATGGTCACACCACACTCCCTTCTCCTCCATTCTCCTCTTGGGATCTTGAGCACGCACGCACACGCACCTGGCTTAAGTTTTAAGCCACTGGGTCTGGGACGCGAACCATGGTCGACTACGAGGGAGTCCAGCAACATAGCCATTATACTAACTGCTGGTTCCCATCCCTCAGCCCTTTCAATAGAGGCCAAAATGGTGAAGGGATTAACTAGAAAATATCTGTAAGGAGCCTATTTTTCTAATGGAGTGAATCCTAGATACATACAAGGGAAAATCGAGAAAGGTTCTTGAGAACGGTGTATCAGCAGCAACGTCGTCACGTTGGTCTGAAATGGACAGGGAAATAATCAAATTAAAAAGTTGCTGAACTCCCCAAATTCTACAGGTAGGAAATGAGCTGACAAAAAAGTTCAGCTAAAAATATGTACAGCCTTTCATGGAAAAGAAATAATGATTCTGAGGGTGGAGGACCAGGCCCAGAGGGCAGTGACTCAACCCACAGAGGATTATTCATAGGTCCTGAAATCTAATTAAGTTTGCCTAGGTGGATTAGATTTCTAAAGTTTTTGAGATACGTAACTTTTTTCCTTCCACTTTTTTTTTTTCCTTCTAACTGTGAATAACTATAACCCAACGTCTGTCCCATCACTGTATTTTGGGAACATAGAGTCTGTCTTGTAGTTTCACAGGTATATAGATGGAGAGGAATTTTGCTTAAGGATGGATTATAAACAGACTCTAATCTATACCTAAATTAAATGATATAGATAATGAGATTTGTTTTTAGTGATGAAATTTAGATGATATTTTAGAATTCAGTTGATGCTACAATGAGTTGAGACTTTGGGAGACCTGGTGATGTGGTAAATGTGTTCAGCATTGGGAAGAGTAGGAATCTTTGGGGACCAGAAGGCAGAGCATGGTGAGCTGAATAATGTGCCCCACCCCCCAAGATATCTACATCCTAATCTCTGGAAATTGTAAACATATTACCTTAAAGTTCAAAAGGGACTTTTATATGTGGTTGATTAGGTTAAGGTTTCTGAGATGGGGAGAATTTCTGGAGTATTTGGGTGAGCCCAACATAATCATAAGGGCTTTTATAAGGAGGAAGGAGAATCCCTATCAAAGAAAAACTATGAGGAAAGAAGTCAGACAGAGGGAGGAATCAGAGGGTGCTAAATTGCTGGCTTTAATATGGAGGAGAGGGCTAACAAAGGCAAGCAGTTTTCACAAGCCAGAAAAGAGTCTGGGTTGTTTGCAAGGGCATCTAGAAGGAAGGCAGACCCACTAATACCTGCCTAGACTTCAGACTTCCAAAACTATCAAATAATAACTGTGTGTTGCTTTAAGCCACTAACTAGATGGTAACTCACTAGTGCAGCTATAGGTTACCCACACAAACAGTCTCTACCTTAATTTGGAATGATAACGCTCTTCAAACATACCATGGAAAACTTAAATTTTCACATTCTAGGAATTTCAGGGTCAACACTGGAAATTAACTTTTAAAACATGAAATCCCTGACTATTTTTTTTTGTCATCTAGTAGAAATACAACAATGGAGACAATGCTAAGTCGATGTTCCAACCATTAGCCTTATAACCTGGAAAAAAAGTATTTCAATAACTATACACTATGCATAAATTGTCAGTTCAGTTTTTCCTTACTGAACATTAGCATCTGAAAGTGAGTGAGGAATGGTTTATTTAGACTTTGAATCCATTACTGCAAATGAGGGCCCCCTTCATCTAGGCCCCCTCTTCAATTATCTCATCAACTTAATTTCAAAAATCACAGAGGAGTTTTTAAATGCCACTTCAAATCTTATAGGGCAATGAGATGGTCCATAGTTCAGGCAGTAATATATAGTCAGTAATCAGCATTAGGATAGGAATTACTCACTTTCAAAGATTTAGAAACACTTAGAAGTTCCTGGAAGAGCTATCTCATCACCATAGAACCATACACATGCAACCAAGTGCTCCACAGCACCCCCTACCTGTGTAACAAGTGGCTCCAACAGCCTTTCCACCGTTAGCGTGCGGATTTCCAAACTTTTGGGGTCCCATTTTAAAATGATAGGTGAAGTGGCCGAAGTCATGCTCCCTGTAAAAACACACATTATCAGTTAGAATTAGTGATCATCAAAATAAACTGCTACTTTGGGGGTTCAAGATAAACAAACTAAAACTTAGAACCTATTTGGAGAGTGTACGTCTGATCAGCTTTGTGAAGTTACAGATGGGCAAACCAGAACCACCCTGTATCAGGTGGAGATACTGGGATCAGATTAAAACCTGAAATTACGCAGCAGTATGACCCATGGTATGGTCAATGGAAAGAGCTATGGGTAAGGAAGGGACATGAAAGAGAGTTTGAAGATACCAATGAAGATTGCTGGGCAGCAAAGAAAATCCATTGCAGTTAGCAGGATGCAGAACCCCATGTGGTTAAAGGGTAGTTTAGAGCTGGCCCTGTGATACAACAGCTGGGCACTATACAGAGGAAACAGACCTCACATGGTTTACTGGGTCTGATCTCAGTTTCACTGGCTTCATGTTAGTTACTGCACATAAGCCTCGGGTCCTCAACAGATAGAAAACTGGAGTAATGGGGACTATGGTATGAGCAGGGCACACTGTGGAGGTGTTTTCTCTTCCTTTTTCTCTCTCACATGGGCACACACAGGTCCTCTATAGTGAAAACAGTTTTTTTTAAGGCTACTTAGTTTCTTCACATCTTAACTGACCACTGAGGATACCATACTCCCTGGGGCAGCACTTTCCTTCTCCTAAATAGGAAAGCTACCTTGCAAACTGAGTGCCAATGGCTCTGAAAATTAGCTCGCACCATTTACATGCTCTCTGATTACTCACTGCATTTACATTCTTGTGCCATAAAATTAAAGTCTGATAAGGTTATTTATCTCATTCTAAAGCAATCCTCTCTCCCCTAAGAACTACTGGCATGCAGGTAGCAGCCTCCCACATACCGAGCATAAAATATGGTCCTGGCCCTCAAGAGAACAAATTACACATTCTATCAGGGGTGCATTTCTCATCAAGAAATTGCTGAATACGTTTTGACATCTACCCACTGGACAAGCAACCTTAGATTGTACAAACTGAATCTGAATCATTTGCCTTAATACCACCATAAATCAAACTGTTCGTGGCTGTTATCTGCTTTTAAATCAATGTCCCCACTCAATTCCATCCTTATAAATCAATGTGGATGATTATTTCTATCAGAATTAACACCACAGAAAAGGCCTCTCACAATAAGCACGAGTAGAAACATGCCTCTTCACTGGCCCTGCTACAGCTAAGCTTTACAAATAGACACAACTAACTTGCTTCAAAAAAAAAAAAAAAAAAAAGAAAAGGCAAAGACACAGTGTGCTGGTATTTTAACTCTCTCCAAATGCCATGTTTTAAATAAACTAAGCATAGAAATCCAACCATACAGACCAATTTAGATTTGGGTTCCTTCACAACAACAATAGTTGGCACCGACATGCTGCCTGTCCTCCAAAAACCTAAAAACACTTTACACATTCCCCATTCACACTACCAACTGCCACAAAGCAGCTCTGACACACACTGAAGTCTGCTGCGGGGCAGACACCTTCTCAAGCTGTGGAGGAGAACTGTGCCAGATGCTCCCTGAATACACTGAGATCCCCTCATCCCTACTGAAGCCAGAGCTACCTACGTGATCTCGGTCCAGTACACATGGCACCGTCATGGCCGGATCCTGGAGGAGATCCCTGATAACCTTTTTCAAGCTCTGATGGAATAACGAATGGCATAATAATAAGGAGGATGAACAAGAAAGTCCAGCAGGAAAGCTGGACAAACTAGTAGTGAAGTTGCTTTCACAGGATAGTGAAAGGGTCTAGGCGAGACTACGCAGAGACTTTCATTATGATACCGGCATTCTTGTAGATGAGAGCCTTCTGAAAATTCTTGGAAAATGCATATTATTATTTTTTAAAAAAATCTATGCGTGGATTTTAAAACTCTGCACCAAAATAAAATCAAACTTTAATTCCATTTTTCCATGAACTTTTTTGAGTCCTCTCATAAAGAAGCTGGTGGGTCAAGGAAAGCACACACACTTTTATGGCCATTCCAATGCAGAACTTTTTTTTAAAATTTAAAACTTTGTTTATTTCATTTTACATGTTATTATTATTTTTTTAACCTGATCAGAAAGAGAGAATGGGAAAGTGACTAAGCAAGCTGCCAGGTCCAAGACTTAAACCGTGGTTGGCCACATGGGGAACCAGTGTTTTAACCACCACACCACCTCCAATGCATAACTTAAAAAAAAAATAATACTCAAAAAATGCTAGGGTTGGGGATCAGCAGGTGGCGTGGTGGTTAAGGTGCTGGCTACTCCCACATGGCCGACCTCGGTTCGAGTCCCAGACCTGGTGGCTTCCTTTCTCCCTTTCCCTCTCTCTCTCTTTCTGTGCCTCTCTCTGGTCAAATTAAAATGAAATGAATGAAAAAATGCTAGGGTAACAAAATTTCTGGCACAGTCACAAGAGAGACTAATCTGCCATGCATAAGCAGAAATGGAGGATATTCCTTAAGAAAAGATCTCAAGGCAACTATGAGCCAAGAAGGAGAGTTAGTCAGTCTTGAGTCCTGAAGGTCACAGTGGCCTTATAAATCTAAAAATGAAAGAATACGAGTTCCCAGACAAATCACTCAACTTAATTAATTCCTTTGGGGATCAATCATCTCAGCCATTTTTTGTGACACAGGTAAAATTCAATAGAAAAAGGCAACGTTTTAAAGGTTACATGGCACTAATTTATTGAAGGGGAAAACCCAGTCTTGGAAACCTTAAATGCTATTTTCTCAGCCATGCCATTTTCATTCTTAGTTTTAGCTGTAACTAAAACTAGGGATTCTGTCCCTCCCCCACAATCTGTTCACCATTTTCTTTCCTACCCACAGTGGCAAAGACCATAGAAGGTTTGAACGGACAGCACAATCCCTACCTCTAAATTTAGGAGGTTGGTATCTAGGATTCCCTTTGAACTGCCTCTGAGGAGTAGTTTAGCTTCAAGTCCGCTATTGAGCACAAGGTAGAGGACGGTAAGAAGCTCCCCTGGTAGCAGTACTTGAGCTGGTGTAATGATTACAATCTACTATTTCTAGAAAGAATGTTTCTGTTCTGCTATTTTAGGTACACTTGATGTTTCCTACTGTATAAATTAGACCTTGTACTGGAAACATTTCCTGTCAAAGCCCTTTACCAATTGAAACTACATACAAGTAGAAGAAAACTGATTCCACTCTAACTTAGTAATCATAACCATAGTCTTTCAGATTCACCGATTAAAGATCTTTGCCTCCAGTGTCCTATAAAGGACAGAAGAGGGCAGAAAAGAGAACGAAAGTCACCATCTTCAGAGCAAAAAGAGAGGCTAACTGAAGAGTAAACAGAAATGGCGATTTGGTGTGTAGCCCCATGACAAGCACACACAATGTCTGACTCCTAACTGAGAATGTCATCACACTGTGTACTCAATATTTATAAGTGACGAAGGACAGTGACGACTCAGTCTATATTTTTAAATAATTTTTTATTTTATTTTATTTATTATATATTTTTTAAATCTGCTACAGGAAGGGACCAGCAATTGGCATAATAGCTATGTCACTGGTCTCCCATGTAGTCGACCACAGTTGGAGTCCCGGACCTGGTGGCTTAAACTCATGCCAGGAGCATGTGCATGCGTGCCCAAGATCCCAAGAGGACAATGGAGGAGAAGGGATTGCGGCGTGGCCATCCCTCCTGGGGGGTGATTTCTCACTTTCTGTTTCTCTATCTCTCTCTGTCTTTCTGGCGAGCATAAACGCCCTATAGCAAAAACCTCTCCAAAAAAAAAAAAGAAAAATTTGCTACAGGATGTGCACTCATGCTCACCAGGGAGAGACAGAGAGAAAAAAGCAAAGTGAGAAAGCAAGAGGCCAGGTCCTGACTTGAACTGTGGTCAGCCATATGGGGGGCTAGCACATTAGCCACTACACCACCTGCTGACCCAACACACAGTCTTTGAAGAAAGATGACATGATTATTCAATAAATTGTCACCCTCCACGCTCCATGCTCACCTTCATGAGAAGGGAACACTTCTCTTCCTTGATTGGGACTTTGGCGATGGAGTGTTTCCTAATATGACATAAGTGGACATTTGGAATGTGCTTAATTAATTGGGCTTGTCCACTTGTGCTCCTGCCTTCTGCTGTGGGCGTCTCATGTAGAAACTGGTCCAAAAAAGGAAGGAAGACACATGGAGCCAAGGCGAGTCCAAGCTGCACCTGAAGCCAGGCCCAGCCAAGTGAAGTCTGGTCAGCCCACTCCCAACCGAACCACCAAACTAGGGTTGAGACAGAAACGCCTCCTGTGTATGTCGTATGCCTCTGAGAGTTTGCCATTAATTGTTGCTCACAGCAGTTAACTATCAGACTTCTGTTTGAATTGAAGCCCTGTAACTTACCAACTCTGTGATACTGTCCAAATTATTTGCCCTGAGTCTAAGATTCCTCAAATGAAAAAAATAAAATAAAGATATTAAGTATATATAGGATTTTTTGTGAGAATTAAAGTGACAGAAAGCATGGTAACATTTCTGGAAATAGTAGTTATCATTGTTATTATATACCCAAATTTAAATATCTTTTTTTTCTCTCAGTTGTATGTCTATAAGAGTAATAAGAAATCATCCATCACAGGACTGGCCCTATAGGGTCCTGGATAAATGCTGTACAGAAATAGGAGGATCTCACATGGCAGGCCAGGGTTCGAGTCCTGGCCCTACCACTCTTGGCTTTGTGCTGGGCCATACGAATCTTTCTCTTCAGCAATGTTAGTAATACTGCCATCAAACTCGACCAAGCTGATAGGCAAATTCAGAACTTAATGGCTAATAATATGTTTATTCACCTATCTCCACACAAATGATGTTGAGTGGGTTACTTAACCTAAGCTTCAGTTTCATTTGTAAAACAAGGACGGTAATAACTGTAAATGGATTCATTCTGAAAAATCATTAAATACACAAAAGTTACGCTCTTCTTTTCAACT